CTAAATTTAAATTGACTAAATCCCCCAATCAAAAGACACAGCCAAAACCCAACAGCATGTTACATCCAGACCGGTTTCACATACAAGGTTACAGAAAGACTCAAAACAAAAGGATGATTTACCAACCAAATGGAGAGCAAAAATAAATAAAAAGCAGGAGTTGCAATTCTCGTAGCGGATAAAATAGATTTTAAAGCAACAAAGATATAGTGGTAAAAGGATCAATGCAACAACAAGAGCTAACGATCCTAACACCCAGATACATAGAGACTTAGATTCAATGAGACAGAAAATTAATAAGGATATCAAGGACTCGAACTCAGATCTGGAACAAGTAAACTTAATAAATATTTATAGAGCTCTCCACTTCAAATACACAAAATATACATTCTTGTCAATACCACATCACACCTACTCATAGGTTTAAATGAAACATTCATTGGCCATTATTAATACCCATTTTTTTTCAGAATAAAGCAATATTTTCGTTTACTTTTCCTCCTTCTCTTCCTCTTTCTTCCTCTCCTTTACTCATATTTTTTTACTTTCCTTCTCTCAAAAAAAGAAAAATAAAAGATGAGTTGATATTGTTATAGCATATAAAAATATTTTAAATTATCATAACCATGAATATAAAAGTAGCACACTAATCATAAAAACCAGTTACAGAAAGTGCATGAAGGCAATAGCAATAGTTCACTTCTTCAGGTGATAGATCCAAAATTATGCAAAGTAAGGAGAGGGATTGGTTTTGTGCTGTAACCTTTTTACTTCATCTCCTTGAACCACAAAATAAGCCTAATTAGGCTTTAGCAGGTGCTAATACGGATGTTCTCTTCTTTGATAACACTCTCTCCCTCTTTACTGCTCTTCCTCCTAGTGTTCCTGCCTTAGAGTTTCCTGAAAAGCACTACCCTTTTTTGTAGTAGTTCATTTGTTCGTTTATTCATTCATTCAGCAAATGTTTATTTTAGCTGTCTGTCACATGTCTGGCACTCTTTTGGGTATTGGAGATACAACAGTGGACAAAACTCACCAAGTTCTTTCCATGTGTTACAAATTTCACAACTTTCTGCCTTATTACAGAAGTTAGTCTGCCTGATTTCTGCTGGCTCTGTAGCTGTGTGGGGTCAGATATGTCTTCAGGAGTATGACTTGTTCTGGCTGTATGCTCTCTGACATCACATGAGGAAGATTACCTTCCTTCACAGCATCCCCTCATCTGGTGAGCCTGAGAGATTCCTGTCTTTCATATTTGTATACAAACATGGTTTTTCTAGCATGGAAATGCACTTTCCTCTCCTATTTTGAATCCTTTCCTTCCTTTAAGTCTTGGTATCTTCATGAAGCCTTTTTCATTATATTGTGGTATCTTCTTTATACTTTGTAGAACTTACTGTCTTTTCTAACTTTATCCAGTAGAAATATAATGAAAGGCATGTATATAATTTTAAATATTATGATAGCCACATTTAGCAAGTAAAAAGAAACAGATGAAATTAATTTTAATATATTTTCTGTAAGCATGAAAATATATTATTGCAATGTGTAATCAATGTGGATATGAAAACATTAAATGAAATATTTTACCTTTTTATTAGTAAGTCTTCAAATTGAACTAGTCACATTTCAAATGCTTGATAATAACTTGTTTAGTGGCTACCATATTGGACAGTGAAGGTCTAGTTATTTATTTGGCATGTGTTATATACAGACTCCATATATATTTTCAACTAAAGCTGAGGTTGGAGAGGCAGAGAGATATAAAACAAACTTCTGTAAGTTTCTTCTTTCTTTCTCGAAGTAATTATATCTCATTGTTCTTTTCCTTTGATTAAATGCAAAAAAGATCAGATACATTCTCTGTATTCTTAGTAGTGCTGGCCTTTTTTGTTGTTTCCAGAATTGGACTATTTTATTTTATTTTCCCAGGTTCACCAATTCAAATAAGTTTCCCTTTGAATTTAAAGACATGGGAGCATCCCAGGAAATGATGGAATCTGGTGTTCATAAGTAATCACCAGAGATTTCAGCTTTCAGCTTAAAGAATCTGTAATCTGTGATTCATCTGAAATTTTATAAATGCTCCCAAATTAGCCAATTAATGTAGAATTTTAAAATATTTCCAAGTTAGAAGAGATTAAGCTATTTAAAAATAATTACCAACTCACCATTCACCAGGTCTCTAAATAATATATTGCCTGCCAAAAGAAAAAGAGGTAATATCAAGGATATTTTGTTCAGTCAAGTTAGTGAAAAGTGGGTTGGAAATGGAAACTAATGTTTCCATTTATTATAAATCAGTATGACTTAAAAGAATCTTGTTTTGTGTGTTAGAAGGCAGATGACTCACTCGTAGGGAAGAGGCTGCCAGGCATGTAATACACACCTAAAATAATGTAAATAGACTGAACAGATTGATGTAAAATCCTAAACTCTTACAAGTACAGTAGTATAGTACCAGATGGTCCCTTATGCAGGGATTTAGATATGCCAGTGAATTTGGGGAGATGCTGGTGGATTTTTTGAGAACTCTTAATAGAATACTACTGTGAATTTCTTATATTATTATTAAAATACTCGTCCCAGAAATGAGACAAATTCTGCAGGCTATATTCAAGACAGCCATTAGGTACTGGGTAAGGCTCTATTTTTTTAACCAAAAACTTGGAGTAAATTGTATGAACAACATTAAAGTCATTAAGACATTGAGGAATAGTGCATGTTTTATTGCCATTGAAAAGAGTTCCAAAGTGATAATGAATTTTTCTTTTTGAGACAGAATATTGCTCTATTGCCCAAGCTGGAGTGCGGTGGCATGATCTCAGCTGACTACAGCATCTGCCTCTCAGGCTCAAATCATCTTCCCACTTCAGCCTCCAGAGTAGCTGGGACTATGGGCATGCACCGCCACAGCCAGCTAATGTTTTTGTAATTTTGGTAGAGACGGGATTTCGCCATGTTGCCCAGGCTGATTTCGAATTCCTGGGCTCAAGTGATCTTCCCACCTCAGCCTCCCAGAGTGCAGCGATTACTGGCATAAGCCTATGCCTGGCTGAAAATTTTAAATAAGGCATGTTTCTGAGTTTTTGTGCTTGCGCGCGCGCTCTCCCTCTCCCTCCCCCCTCCCTCTCCCTCTCCCTTCCCCTCCCCCTCCCCCTCCCCCCCCCTCCCTCCCCCTGGCCAATATGCTTTATCTCTTTCTGAGACTTTGACATAAGAAGACATTTCCAAAGGTTGTATTCTGTTAATGTAGTATGGTATTTGAAAATGAGATATACCAGAACTCACATTTTATAAGGATGACTTCATTCTTGATATGTGCTACCCCCAACATTGCAGTCTCAAGTGCATGTACAAAAGAAGGACCAGTTTTCAGTGTCTACCCCATCAACATATGGGTCTTCCCATGCTTGAGAGAACCACTGGTAGCTATATGCCTTTCCTTCCTTGTCAGTATAAATTTAGGGGATACAAATACAATTTTGTTACATGGGTATATTGCACAGTGGTGAAATTAGGGGTTTTAGTGTATCCATCACCAGAATAATGTACATCTTACCCATTAAGTAGTTTCTCATCATCCACTGCCCCCAACCCTGCCAAGTCACCATTGTCTGTCATTCCACACAATTTAGCTCCCACTTATAAGTGAGAACATGTGTGTACCCAGTTTCTTTTTTTTTTTTTTCTTTTTTAGGATAGTCTTGCTCTGTCACCCAGGCTGACAAGATCACGGCTTGCTGCAGCCCCTGCCTTCCAGATTTAAGCAATTCTTATGTCTCAGCCTCCCAAGTTGCTAGGATTACAGGCCTGTGCCACCACCCCAGGCTAATTTTTGTGTTTTGGGTAGAGACAGGATTTCACCATGTTGGCCAAGTTGGTCTCAAACTTCTGGTCTTAAGCCATCCACCTGCCTCAGCCTCCCAAAATGCTGGGATTATAGGCATGAGGTACTGTGCCCAGCTGGTATGTACCAAATTTCTGATGTTAAAGGAAAGGCAGTTATTTGTTCCCTGAAAGTTGAGCACAAAAAGAAGAACTAAGCTTTTAGTTTTAGTTTCCCATGATTAAGGATTTGAAAAAGAGTTACCGGATAGTTCAATTTCCTTTGCTTTTTTTTTGAGATGGAGTCTTGCCCTGTCCCCTGGCCTGGATGTGATGGTGAGATCTTGGATCAATGCAATTTTTGCCTCCCAGATCCTAGCGATTCTCCTGTCTCAGCCTCCTGAGTAGCCCAGCTTATTTTTCTATTTTTAGTGAGAGGGTTTCACCATGTTGGCCAGGCTGGTCTTGAACTCCTGACCTCAGGTGATCCACCTGCCTCGGTCTCCCAAAGTGCTGGGATTACAGGCATGAGCCTCCCCACCTGTCCCTTACTTTGCTTTTAACTATGCCTGTTCATGCTGATCACATACAGATTATCTCTATCTAGTTACTGGAATCCAGATTTCTCATTGGCTTAATTAAATTTATTGCACAGGAGGAGGCTTCCTGAAACATTTAAGCTCTACCTGATTCATTAAACTACAGCTCTTTCATTTTCTTAAAAATCAATTAAGAATTTGATCTACCATTCCTCTTCTGAAAAGAAAACAGTGTTTCTCTACCATTTTGGTAGAAGAGTTATTTAAAAAACAACTGTTATTCGTCTCTTTTTACAACCTGGCAAAGCACAGTGTGTAAATATTGTTTGTTTATAACCAAATTTAATTATTTTGGAATATTACTTTTTGCCAAGTCTACTGCCAAGCTAATTTTATCAGGGTATAATTAACAGTTGTCAAAAAAAAAAAAAAAAACTGCTTGATTTGTTTCCACAGTAATTCAGAAAGAAAAAAAACATAAATTTAAAACCAATTTTGCTTCCCTTTAAAATTGTAGGTAAAATTCAAAGTTGCGTATGTTAAAATTTAGAACACAGAAGTAGAAATGATCAAGTTTTGTTAACTCATTGAATAGACTAACCCTCTTTTCTGTGTCTTCTATACCCCTATCAGAATGTTTGCTGTCATTTGCATGTATTTGAGCCAGGAGCAATGGGTTGTACAAAACAACTTCAGCATCACCATAAACTTCAGAGAAATCGTTTCTCTCACAACAAAGGCAGCTCTGTGCATGGCCTTCAGTTGGCTGCCTGGAAAATGACTGCACTCGACAACTGCCAGGTCAATGTAGACGCTCATGTTAATTTTCCAAGTTGGGGAACAACATGCCTATTGTTAGGGGATAGAAACATGTGAGAGATTAGCAATGAGCAACTTTACAAACAACTAGCTGAAGGAAGCATGATTCAATAAGAAAGAAGAAAACAGTACAGTAGCTTCACTTATTGCCTCTGCTATTCAGAGAAGCTGGAGGGAGGAGAAAATAGATCTGGTTGATATTTCAGGGCTAGTTGGACAGAGAGTAATGCACAAAAGGATATTGCTTGGAGAGATGACCCCTGCATGTGAATGTTAGAAGTGCTATGTCTGCAAGGTATGAAGCTACATGGGATTTATTTGTATTTAAAAAAAATAGAATATAGTAAAACGGCCATTTATAAGGAGTAGTTCAGGACTCATGGTTTGCCAGTTTGAACTGAGTGTTATTAAACTTAATGTTTTAAGTAGATATAGTTGAGAGTGAAAATGTAAAAAAAAGCTGGACAGGAAAGACATTTTTTGTTCTAGCTATTTTATTTTTTATGTAATAATGACTTTAAACAAATTATGTTCTTTTGGATTCAAAACAAAAACATTTTTAAAATATTTAGACTGGGCTTGGTAGCTCATGCCTGTAATCCCAACACTTTGGGAGGCTAAAACAGGAGGATCACTTGAGCTTAGGAGTTCAAGGCTGAAATAAGCTATGATCATGCCACTGCACTCCAGCCTAGGCTGTAGAGTGAAACACTGTCTCAAAAAATCAATAAATAAAAATTAAATATTTAGATAGGCTATGTTTTCTAAAATTTTGTACAGTATGCTGAATGCTGTTTTCCTTTTAAATAAAAAGCCAATAAAACATTTCTGTCAATTTTCTTGCTTTCTTTCTTTTTTTTAGAGACAGAGACTTGCTGTGTTGCTCAGGCTGGTCTCAAACTCCTGGCCTCAAGCAAATCTCCCACCTTGGCCTCCTAAAGTTCTGAGATTACAGGTGTGAGACACAATGCCTGGCCTCCTATCATTTTTTCTATTTCCAAGACTTTACTAACATCCTGGTTTCACCTTTGAACCTATAACCTAGCTTACTTTCTGTATTTCTTACTTCCCTATTCTTTCAGTTTGAGTAGTAAAAGGTGTGGCCAGAGAAATGTTGCTCACTCTTCAGCTCTGGGTGCCTACCTCTCACCTTGTATTTGTGTAGTTGATGGCTGAGTATGTGGTGGTAGATGGATGAGGGATGGAAACCACAATAATTGCCATCATTTGTTTAATGTCTGCTGTGTGGCAGGTAATGTACATAGTGTCTCATTAGTCCTCACAATAATTCTGTAAGAAAGGGCACTATTATCTTCTTTTAGAGAAGAAGAAAATGGGCCTTTAATAGATTATATAACTCTCCCCCAAATCACTTAACACCTTTACCTAAGGAGAGGGATCAGGGGATAGCAGCAATGAAAAACACAAGCATTTTTTTTCTGGGATGAAACAGGGGAATGAAAGGCAATATCAAAGGTCTGACAATATAACTTCCAGACCCAAGCCTCCCTGGAAAATAAAAAATGCAAAAGATTATAGAGCAGAAGACTAAGTGTGGAAAAATTTGGGACAAATAGAATCTGAGAGTCCTGGTGAGAAAGCAATTAAGAAAGCTAGAGAAGGTTTACAGCTCCATTTAATTTACATTTCATTGAATAACAGGAGAATTATTGTGAGACTTGTTAAAACTTGCACTTTGTTGGTGGAGTTTATCCTCTATTTCCCCATCGTGATTAGTAGCCCTTAGAAAATCTTAGAACAGCCAGTGTTTTTTCCAGGTACTGGGTAAGAAGGGAAAAGGCTGTGTTCTTTTCTGTATTTAGCTGTGATGAACAGAATCTCTGATTTGAGGCAGTAACTGATGTTAGTGCAGTAGGTAGCTAGCAGGTCGACTCCTGTCCCTAAGGATTTATGTAAGATGAAGGTCTTGTGACCTTCCAGAAGAAACAGGAGAGGATTGAGAAGGAGGCAAAGAAACTACTTTTAAGACTTTGGTGACAGTGCTGCTCCCTCAGTACCATCCCTCTATCCCACTACCTTTCTCCTTCTTCAGCTTTTGTTCTAAATCATTTCTTAGAGTCCTAGTAACCCTAGGTGTTACCTCTCTCCTCATTCCAGGTCCCTTTCCTTCCAGAACCCTTGAAGTTTGAGTTTACATTTTTGGAAGGATGCCAGGGATTAGCTCAATTAGTAGATCAAATTTGTAAGGGTTAAACTAGTAGAGGGAGACATTTTACCTGTACCTTTGGGGTTTTCCCAAAATCTGACAAATATGCAGAGCCCAAAGCTGAGTCTGGAAAGCCAGAGAAGCCTGTGAACATATTCTAAAACCAGGGTCTCCAAAGATATGTTTCCAAAGCCAGGAATCAAGGGTTAGGGGAAGAGAAAAAGTTGCAGGTTTAGAGCAAGGGGGCAGCAGGCCTGAAAATTGCCAATAACCAGCATCATAGTTTAATAGCAGCAGAGTAATGGGAGAGTGTGTGGGGGGTGTGGAGGATGTGTCTGAAGAGACCAGGAAAGGGGCAAGTTCCTGTTGCCTATTAGGGTAGCAAAGAGGAAGAAATGTATTCCTGACATCTCATGTTGATATTTAGAATACACTTCTCCCTAGAAAAACAATACATACTTGATTAGATTTCTAGGCTAGCCTGCTAAAATAGTTTCCTCATAATGAACTTGAAATACAGATTCCAGGAGGCTGAGGCAGGAGAATTGCCTGAACCCAGGGGGCGGAGGTTGCAGTGAGCCGAGATCGCGCCATTGCACTCCAGCCTGGGTAACAAAAGCAAAACTCCATCTCAAAAAAAAAAAAAAATACAGATTCTAAGCATCGTGAGAAAAATCTTGGTAGAAAACAGTGGGTTATCCAATGAACTTTCAAGGTTCCACTAATAAGAGAGAACCCATTAGAATTAAAGAAGAGTTAGTCATACTTTGATATTTTCTCATGGCTTATACATATTCATTAAGATTATTTACTATTCTAAAAAAGTTTAAAAAATAGCAACACTTTTGAAGAGTATTGGTTAGTTATTTTATCAAATATCCTTCAATTTGTCTTATTCGATATTTTCTTATAGTTAGAATGAGGTTTTGCATTTTTGGCACGAAAACTACAAAATTATGTTTTCAGTATGTTGTATCAGGGTTCGCAATATTGATATGTGTTATTATTAGTGTTTATTTTATTGCATTTGCCATCTACCAGGAAATCCCTTACAGGTTGGAGGAGAGTAAGGAGAAATAACTAAATGCAACGTGGGTTCTGATAGGATCCTAGAAAAAGGACATCAGTGGCAAAATTGGTGAAATTAAAAGAAGGTCTGAAGTTTAGTTACCAATATTCCAGTGTTCCAATTGGTTCCAGTGTACCAACATTCATTTCCTGTTCTGGATAATTGTACTGTGGTTATAAAAGATGTTAACACTGGGGAGGAAGAGTGAAGGAAATAAAGGTACTCTCAAGGGTACTCTCTCTGCTATTTTCTGTAAATCTAAGATTAACTCAAAATAAAAAGTTAAAAAATAATACTATCTAACACTTCTGTAGTGCCTCCTACTTGCTACATGAACTCTGCATCTGTTAACCCTGGTTGCTTTCAACAACCTTGTGAGGGGAACTGCTGTTATCCCCATTTGACATATGAGGAGACCTAGCTATAGACAGGTAAAAGTATGTCCAACATCAATGGTTGTGAATTGGTCCCATAGTTAGAAAGTGGCTGAGTTGGGATTTAAACTGAGGCATTTTGGATCCAGAAATCGATGACAGCATACTGGCTTTCAATGTGCTTTATATGCACATAGTTTAAAAGAAAATCAGATACACTCTTCTCTGAAGCAATCTCTGTTACAAGTTTTTTGGCTTTTCTTTTAATCCTTCAAAGAAGAACTTACCCTTAAATATTGATAGCAAAGCAACTCACTGTGGTTTTTATTTGTAATCAAAGCTATGCTATGGCCATGTTTTGTTCTCTTTCAGTATCTTTTCGTGGCATGCTAACAATTGTAGATAGCAGCTGTGTTGGAAACTAGGGAATTTCATCTAAGTTGGTCAATGTCTGTGATTGATTGCTCATAACTACTGTGTTCAGTCTGTACGGTATGATTAAGTAGACTTAAACTTCATTTGGAATTTAACCAAATTCTGCAATTGCTCTCATGAGTATTTATATTAGTATGAGTGGCTTTTTCTTTTTACTATTGAACTTACATATTTTTTTTAACTCAACAACTGCCAGCTGTTGTAACAATGGCTTTGTTTGTAGTCTTTAAAATTGAAGAAAGAGTACAATGTGAATTATTATACATTGGACCTCTGAGAGTATGAATGAATTGGTTGATTTTGGTCTGATTAATATACCTCATGTAGAGACCGACCTTCCTTAACTTGCCAGAGGAAGAAAGTTCACAAGGTACTGGTTACTCTAAAGGAAGACTGACTTTGAGTTAAATAGAAAGTTGATAAAATGCATATATTGACAGTTACTGACTCAGTAAGCTTCATAATTCTAGGAATTAATCAGTGCTGATTCATATGTTTAGATATATTCATTTCCGTCTTTCTGTTTCTTGGGCCAAAAAATAAAAAGAAAACCAATATTTAAGAGGTGAGAAAAGTAACAGAAATTTCCTACTTGTGCACATGCCACAAACACAACAATTAATCTTTACTGCAGAAGCAGTTTGTCTTTCTTTTCAAAGTTAGGGCATTTTTTTTTTTTCCTGTGTGTTGAATTAAAATTTGTAAACAGCAGGAATTGTGGCTTGTTAAAAGAAAAACCTTAGACAAATTGAATTTGGCAGAGCTTAATTGAGCAAAGAATGATTTGTGAATTAGGCAACCTCTGAACCAGAATAGAGAGGCTCCAGAGCAGCTGCATGGTGAAAGAAGAGGACAGAAAAAGGCAAGTGATGTAGAGTAAATGGAAGTGAGGTACGGAAGCAGCTGGATTGATTACAGCTTGAAGTTTGCCTTATCT